CTTTGTTCCTAGCCTCAGCATTTTCACCCTCAATATTTTACTGCCTTTCATTGCCTCGTGCCTGAATCAGTACCCTGTGCTCACTGTCCCTCCAGCTGCAACTCCAGCCCAAGCTCCTCTTCTCACCTTTGTCTCAGCTATGGGTCACCACGCATTCCACCTTCTATCCTGCTTCACATCTTTCTTTTCTTAGCTTTTCATGGACAGTAAATTGCCTGCGCTTTTCATACGTTCCTACTTTTGACCCATGCATGGTCCCTACTGTGCCATTCCAATGGTCCTTTTTTTTCCTCTTGACTTCCTGCAACTGTAGCCCTCCTAGAATCCAGTATCTGCTGCATCTTTACCTTCCCTGGACATAGCATCCCCAGCACTTTTAAACTCCCAGAGCACTTTAACCCTACTGTGAGGTGAACCACTTCATGATGTTTAAAACTCTGTATTCTGTTCCCTATTTCAGTCTAATGCATCCCCAGGTCTCTGCAGCTCCATCTTTTCCATATCTCTTCTTCACTCTCACTTTATGTTACTTTGTCAGAGACCTGTGAACTGTCACTATCCCAATCATATAGCATTTTTACTGAACGTCTAAACCTCAAATAACAGTGTTTGTATTTGTTTTTACACACTGGGCATTGTAATATTCTTAAGAGTCTTTGAAGAGTTCAGAGGAGTAGAAATATCACTATTCTTTCATTTATAAATATCATATTAAGATGCATATGGTTATGTTGACTCTCAGCGTGTGAATGTATTTAATTATTCATATCAGTAGTTAAGGGGACTCAAATATGAAATAGTAGTACTCTACTACTCAGTTACATCCCCAGCTCTGAGTTTGATTATATATTTATGGTGCTACTTGTGATTGAACTTTGAGCATTTGTACTGAGTTGCATCCTGAGGCTTTTTAATTTTTTTTTTTTTTAGTTTTGATGCAGGATCTACTATAATCATTATGTTGCCTAGGCCAAGGTCTAACTTGCAATTTTTCTGCCTTAGGCTCATAGAATGCAGGGATTATAGACCTGCATAAACATACATACACTTTTGAGTGTCAGTTTCTTAGAGTGAGACTATGAATTTGTATCAATAAATGGCATTGTGAGTCATGAGAAAGTAGGTGTGTATTTTTACATAACTAGTCTTTGGCTGACGGTTCACTTTTGGTAAAGTGTACATGTAAGAACACATCTGTGTTAGAATATAATTGTGTGTGACTGTATACATGTGTGGGTGTGCATGCATATGTATGTCTTTGCATCTGTTGTGTGTGTGACACTATGTCTGAGGGTGTGAGTATATGCAACAGTAGGGTCTGTTGATTATAAGATCTCAAATATTTGATTTGTGCATTTAGGGAGGTTGAGTAATGGAGGTAAACAAATGATAAATTATTTGTAGTAAAATCAAAAATTTGGTGTGAATTCATATTTTATGTTTATTGACTGATTGTTGAAGAAACCAGCATGAATTACAAAATATTCAGCAATGCATAAGCATCACTGAGGCAAGCAGCAGTCAGGGCTCCTGAACCGAGCAAGAACTGCTGACTCATCTCTGAAGGAATGACTTTTAAGCTGTTGGATCCTACTGCTTCCAGTTTTGCACCTCTCTTTTCTCCTAACCAAATGTTCTTTTCTATTTGTACATCTTGTCTCTACTGGTCTTCAAAATGAAGAAAGTATGTATTCCTTCAACATTTTCTTATTTTCTAGACTTCCAATGAAATTATCAATGAAATATTGTGGAATAGTGGGGTTATGTGCTCCTTTTACTGTATGAGTTTGAAAACTTTTTCTTTGTTATTTTGCTTTCCCTGCTTATAACTTTTATTTCAGTGGGGTGGCTTACACATAAGACTAGAAGAGCATTCTTCTGTGCAGTATAGAAACTTCTCAGGGAGGAGCATAGGCGAGGGACATGGGAGTCTCACTGCAGTTGCATAAGTGTCAGACCTCAGAGTTTTCTTCTAACTCCATCTGAGACCCTGTCTCCTCCAGAGTCAGGAAGAGGAGGAGCTTTTCCCAAACACTTCAATGGTCTCTTCGGAGATGCTAAGGGCAAACTCAATTGGTTTTAGTAATTAGCAACTGGAAAAAGTTTTTCAGAAATGTTCTCAATTCTCCAAGCCACTGTTGTCATTGGCACTAAAAATGACATAATAATCAGACTTTTGCGGGGAGATGAGGTTACGGAAGGACAGATCTTTTTATTGCAGAGGAAAATGCACATTTGCAACTTGGATAGGAATGATGGTCACATCGGACTTTAACGAGGTGAGTGTTTACTTCAGGTTGAAACTGAGGGTATGAGAGACACAGGTGTTTCTGAAATCTTGATTGACTATCATAATGCAAAATATGGTTCTTAGGGTTTAAGACTGATTCAGTGTAAAACCACTCAGGAAGATACAATAGTTTCTCAAGCATGAGTCGAGCTAGTAAGAGCAGATGTGTGTCTTAGACACTACACCCAGCTCACAAATGACTGAAATGAAAACCAGTGTTATTCCCACTTAGAGAGATTGGTGATTTTTAAGAAAACTTGTCATTTGAGTTTATAAACTTAAGTTTGTAAGATACACAATGCTATGCTCTTACACATTTTTTATTTCAATTTTGCGTGTGTGTCTTTAGTATATCTTACAAATCTCAGCTTGTTGCTCTTTTATTTACAAAGGTTAATGCATGAAAAATTATGAGATTTAAAATTAGTACTGATTTACTTTCTAGCACTACACTGGCCCTCTATTTGTGTTTCATAAACCATATTTTAAGGAATACAATGAGATTGCTCAGTGATTCTTGCCATAAGTAATATTGTACTGCTGTTTCTAGCACAAAGAATAACAAATCTCCCTGGTGTCATTTTAATACTGTACACCCCCTATACCCATTGAACCAAGCTGGACACTGCACAAGTCCTGAATATTATAGAGCAGTCAGCACATCTGCATGGTAATAGGGTCATTAAATGATTGGCTTATAAAATAAACCACTTGACAAAATTGAAACACATTACAAATGCAATTTGATATAACAAACCACCAATCTAAATTAAAAACAAAACTAAATTTTACTGAATTATTCAATGAAAGCAACTCATTTCATTTGTTACTATGCTAAACAAATGGTTTGTTTTCACAACCAACATCCATAGGTTAAATTCTCTATTTTGCTTCTCATTTGGGTGTGGATTTATACTAATAAGTTTTGTGTCTATGTTCTCCAGATGCTCATTGGCTTGTATAGTGCTACTTCAGTCTACACAAATTTCTCTAGAGGAGAACTGAAAGGTAAGTTTGTTCTCTCTTACTTTTGTTTGACATATTTAATGGAGATAATAATCAGATATCTCTGAAAATTCTGTAATCTATTCATCAAGGTAGGAAAGTGGAACTTTATGAAGTTAAAGAAGGAGACTTTCTAGGAAAAGTTAACATAATAATTAAGGAATTTGAACTGCAGAAAAATGAAGGTGGTAAAACTGTTCCAGATTCAAATGAGCCTTGTGATATCATGTCAAGTTGTAAAATCAAATGCCATCTTCACACTCTGGTGTACCTTTCTACCATACAAATGCAGATTTCATACTTATCTTGTATTTTACATTATTCAGAAATCACACATTACCATCTTTTTATTCTTCCAAATACAAAATACACAGTTACATGTAGTTACTATCATATTTTATTACTTAAGTATCATGCTAATATTATTCCTTCATTCTTGAAGACTGATCAGGCTCATAAATGAATGGAGGGTGAAGGCTTAAATAAATGAGTCAATTGGTATCATTTTAGGGCTCCAGGAGAATCAAAATTCTCTAACAGAATTTGAGTTCTCTGGGGGCTAAGACAAAGATCTTCTGTGGGCAGCCCATATTTATTTAGAACCAAGGTGGGAAATAGTGAAGAAAGTTGGGACACTACCTTGAGTGCAAGGGCCATTCAAGAACCTTGGAAGTCCACTCAAAGGCTTCTCCAAGTAAGACTTTATATTAATTTAGGAGAACTATGTTATCTCCAGGAAGGTCTCCACCCAGGAGTGAGATGCCTGCAGCTACAGCCTTTATCTAGTTAATAGAGGTTGGAGCCAGTTGTCCTTAGCTGTGGCCTTGTCTTGTCCTTTGAGGTATTCTGGCCTTAGTCACCATTACATGCCTCAGTCAGGACCAGGACTCACAGAGGTTCACTTACTATGAGTCTGCTGCCCATCTCCAGACAAGGGGCCTACGCCTTAGAAAAACTCACAAGTAAACATGAAAAGCCAATTGGCTAACATTAAATCCTGCTCAGAGCAACCTCATAGTGATCTCCATCACTTAAGTTCATATACCTCACCTAGACCTGAGTCTTATGTTATTCATAATATTTGTTGCAGGCATCACAGAAACAGCATTTCTCTCCGTCTGAATCTTAATGTTGGTTTGTATTCATTAAATCTAATTTGATCTTAAGACATTGCTTAGCCCACCAATATTTTGAATCTTCATTCATAATACTGTTTCATAAAAGAAATATTTTCACAAGAATACAAACTATTACAATCAGACTTGTTCATTAAGCAGATATCAAATATAAAAACATACATGTTGTATTTGGAATATCAAATGACCCTCACCATATCTCTGTGATACTGCAGCACAGAAATAAATATACTATTTTCACCTGCCTGCCAGTTTCAAACCTTGTCTTTGTAGGTATTTACATGAGTGATGCAATCTTGTTTTGCTAGGATATCTGGGTTAAAGAAAATGTCCTAATTAATAGTGCTGTACTAGGGAAGTGATTAATGCAAGCACCAAATGTTAGAAATGGAAACCCTTGATGAAAGAAAATACACATTAGAAATAAATTTATAAGGAATAATTCCAGTAAGTAAAATGTTTTAAATTTAATTTTCTGTAAATTTCTGAACTCAAAACATGTTTTTCCTTACAGAATCCTGTATTTTCCACATTAATGCTAAGTCCTGAACAATAAGAGATTGGCTTTCATGGATTTGAAATTTGGGATAATATTTCTTTTCCAGATTGTCATTGGAACCATGGGGAATTTCTCACTCTTATATAATTATATGTTTCTCCACTTCAGTGGATACAGGCCAAGGCCAACAGATTTATTTCTCAGACACCTGATTGTGGCCAATTCCTTAGTCATTCTCTCCAGAGGGATGCCAGAGACCATGGAAGTTTTTGGGAAGGAGCACTTCCTTGATGATCTTGGATGCAAATTTGTTTTCTATCTTCACAGGGTGGGCAGGGGTGTGTCCATTGACACCACCTGCCTATTGAGTGTCTTCCAGGCCATCACCCTCAGCCCAGGGAACTCCATCTGGGCACACCTGAAAATGAAAGCCCTGAAATACAAGGGTCCATCTATCATCCTCTGCTGGGTGCTGCACCTGCTGTTAACTATTAGACTTCCTGTTCTTATCACTGATAAAAGAAACAAGAAAAACTTCTCAAAAACTATAGATTTTCAACATTGTTCAGTGATGCTCCCTGAGAATAACACAGGCACAGTTTTTGCAGCAATGACATTATCCCATGACATTTTGTGTTTAAATCTCATGATCTGGGCCAGTGGTTCCATGGTTCTTATTCTGTACCGGCACAAGCAGCGGGTCCAGCATATCCACAGACAAAGCTCATCTAGATCTTCCCCTGAGACCAGAGCTTCTCAAAACATCCTTGCTCTGGTGAGTGCCTTTGTGTTCTTCTACACCCTGTCCTCCACCCTTCATGCATGCTTTACTCTTGTTGATAAAAGAGCTTTGTGGCTAATCAGCAGCACTCCCATAATCAGTGCTGGTTTCCCTACTATCAGCCCCTTTATTCTCATGAGTCATGAATGCTCTGTGTCCAGGCTCTTCCGGAAGAAGTGAACTGATTTCTGAACTCATCATGTGTGTACTTTATCTGTTTTGTATGCATGAGTTATGGGTGTACATATGTTACACACACTGAAAGCAGTATTGTGAACCTGTTGTATTGCAGAGATGTAAATAAGACAGAGATACATGGCTATAATTAATAATAATTGACAGTAATACTAAATGAAACTTGTTTTAATATTAATTTTTGTACAGTTTTATTTTGTTTATTGAGTTCTGTCTGTCTGATCTATGTTTCTATATAAAATACATTTCACTGCTATCTTCACTAATATAAAAATTTGTTCTATTTTTACTCAAATCAGTTGATGTATGAATACACTTTTTGCAATATATTAACTCTGCTTTATCTCATCAAAATGCTATTTTTTCTCTCTTCAGTCTGTGCACTGGTATCCTTGCTGTCATCCATCATGTCATATCCTTTTTTTTAAAACATTTTTTGTCATCAATCTCATAATTAGTTCATTTGAATAATTATTTTAAAATTTGTTATACTGTACTATATTTATCAACAAATATTAACTTGTAAATTGCTTCTTGTAACTTGGTCTATATACACAGTCTCCAGATTTTTAATGTATCTTGAAAATAGTGTGTATCCATGTAGTTTTGAGCAATCAATTGTCATGCAAATGTGAAATTGTCTGTGATCTTTTCTAAATGTATCTGGGAAGAAAGCAACAACTTTTGTCAGAGACAGTAATTATTTTCTGTTTAGTGTGTGCGATATCTTTGCCTTCACTATTCCTGAAAATAAGATTTCCCGAAACTATAATTTTGTGAAGAGATGGCCAAGGACTGTTGCCTCACTCAGATTCTTCAAACCATGGCGATTCTATACCCATGCAACATCTGTTCCCTCCTTCCTCCTCTGATGAGAGGACCTGATCCCAAATGCTGCTACATACTTGCTATTGAAGGACCTTCAAAAGAGCAACATCAGTGCCATGAATGTTTCTGCACCTACAATAGCTGCCTCCTGACCCTTGTGCTTTGTTTTAATTTTTTTTTTTCAATTTTTTGGAGGGAAGAGCATTTAATGTAATATCTATCTTCAGGCACCTTTTTGAGTTTTAAAATAGAATCTTTTCAATTATAGGCCAAGTTAGTAATCTAAAGAAATCTTGGCTAACTAAAAGCTACTTTCTTCAATCATTTTCCTTGTTTTTTCCCTGCTCCCAGCTCCTGGAAACCACTACTCTTTTTACTTCTATGTAGGACCATTTTATATTCCATGAAAATGTGAGATCACACTGCATTTGTTTTGGTTTTTCATTGCTTTGTTTTACTTAGCATAAGGTCTTCAAGGATATTCCTTGTTTCTAAACACAGCGAGATTTCCTTCTCTGCTGTTGGTAAAGAGTTGGTTTCTGTGTATGATAACAGGTCCCAAGAATGAGGTGTGGCAGATGCAAAGAAAAGCAAGAGGGACACAGTTATGGGATCGGGGGTTACAGCTTCTAGGACTGAAGCTCCAATTACAATTTTCTTTAGCCTTTTATTAGGATTCTCTAACAGAAAGCAGGAACAGGGGAAATGGGGGGAATCATTAAAAAGATTAGCGAGGGGAATACAGTTTAATTATTCCAGGAACTGAACTTTGATTTAGCTAGCCATCAGGTCATCATTCCTTCAGATGTATCTCAGCAGAGCATCTAGTGCTGTCCCAGCAGCTTTCCACAGGGACTAAGGCCCTGTTTTCATTTCCTTATACACTAATACTTTTGCTAGAGTTCCTCCAGAAGCAAACAATCATAGGGCTTGGTCAGGCTCAAAATTCCACACAGGTAATTCATTGAAAGATAAACTACAGAATGTCCTTCTCCACATTTCCCCCTCTGTTTTTGCTGCAATCCTTTGAAGTACTAATGAGAAGGCTGTGGTTGGACTTCCCGTTTCCTACAGTTTTCTGGATGAGTATTGCTAGCCTACAAAAAGTATCAAGCAAAGAAAATTATAATACCATATAAAACAATGGTAAATGTTTGGAAAAATTGTAATTATTTTTAAAGGTTTCAAATGTTCTATTCCTTCAACCATGACTTGTAACAAATCGGTCCTTGTAGCCATTCTCGTTTGTTGTTAAATGTCTGAAATATTTCTTTCTGTAAATTTCCAATCTTGAAAGATAAATTTTCTTGATCTTTTAAATGGTTTTTGACATTCTCCCACAGGAAAAGTGTATTATTACAGCAGTGAGGAGGATCACACAAAGAAGAGCTATTCCAATCACATTTAAGCCAGAAATGTTTTTGTAAACTAAGTAATCTCCCATCAATACCATTGCTTGTTGCAAGTTTGCTATTTGAGTAGCCAATTTTTATCTGCAGAGCGTTGAATTTGTCATAGTCTATCAGAATGCTCATGCCACGTTTGCACAAATTGAGTAGTTTGTACTGATTGATGAAGGGTTAATCCAGCAACTGCTGCAGTAGCTGTAATGCTAATAATTCCTAATACAACTGCAATCAGAATCTCTAATCTCTTGCTACATTTTATTAATTTATCTATAAAATTTTGCAACATGTAAGTGGCTAGAGTTTGCTTCCATGGTCTCTCTTCTTAGTTAACAAGTAGCCAGATTCTCAATCTTTGTTTAATAGTATATATACTATCTTTAAATAAATAATTAAATGATATAGAAGTATTTAAACAGGTATAAAAATTACAATTAGTACATCTGAGCAGGAATTCAGAAGCATTTTTTGCTTCACTGGTCATGATAATATAAGGAAGATGAACACATGCTTGTGTGTAATGAGTAGAATTAATGGAAAGAGAGATGAGTGCTGTTTTCATATTTGGTATAAGATCTCCTCCAAGCATGTAAAGAATGTAATGCTGATATTAACTTCCACAAAGATAGATAAGGAGGACCATATTGTGTTTTATGTTGGAGTTCTGACTTTCCGTCATCATGCCTTACAATGGATTCATTTGCTTGTGTACTTATAGTATAGTTCTTTTTACTCCATTTTAAAATCACTGATGGAAGGTTTAGCTTGAGCTGAGCCACAAGGACTCCAATCAATGACACTTCCATAGGAAACATTAAGTAAAACTATGACTGTACTCGACCTACATGCCTCCCAATAAACTCAGACGTTTTTGGAGTTACTCATTGATGGCATGGTGGTAATTTTGGAGGAGCTGAATTATCGAAAATCAATCCTTTGAAAGCCCAAGCTTGAGACAAAATTAGAGATATATGACTGTGGTTAGTAGAACTATTCTTGACTGTAGATAACCAAGCTCTTTGTTTGACTTTCAATGATCTCCATAGCCCATACAAATACATGGACCTTCGTTCCCCATTGAATAATTTTTTACTTTTTTCTCCTTCCTTACCTGTCATAATGGTCCCTGGATGCCATACAGTCCAGGAAGCCATCTAGATTCAATAGAAAAAATTGGTGCAGGAGCATCAGCCCAATCCATAATTTTATTTAGTGGAGGATTTAGGATATATGCCTAATAATGGTGTGTTGAATTTTCACAAAGGTTGTACCTACTATAGTGGATATTATAGCCAACATGACTAGAAACATATTACCAGCTCTAAACCCTTGTCCAGTGCAGCCCAACAGTCTAGTGGAGCTCTCTACATCATGGGTCAATTTCTTATGTTGCCCCTATGTTGGGGATTGTGCTTTTTGAGTGTTCCTGGTCCATGTCTGGGGGTGGCATTGCAGTGACATTACTCTCATTTCTTCCCCTGGAGGATGCATATAGAATCTGACCCTTTTGTGGTGTATGACAAGTTTTAATTCTTCTGGCAGGTAACCACACTTTTTCTCCCAAGTCTGTAATGGCACAAGAAAATCCTTGATGCCAAGTTTGAGGAATACCTCTTCTTATGGTCCACTGTGAGTATCTTTCTAAAAGACAGGTTGTCCTATAGGTTCTGGCAGCACCTTAATAATGGTGGCCCCAATGTTTCTGCTGCTGTAGTGGATGAATCTTTACTAATATCCAAAAAATTTATGTGAATAGGGCTTAATGTAGCAATTGATGTGGTGAGCTTCTATCCTTATCTTCCCTCTTTTGTTTTGCTCACATAAATTTAAGAGTAGCATGTGCCCTTTCAACCATACCTTGTTCCTGAGGGCTGTATGGAATGCCAGCATAATGATTAACATACACCAGGCACAGAATTTTTGGAAGGAATGGGATGTACAAGCAGGTTCATTGTCAGTTTTGATTGCGTTAGGTTTACCTATCATAGCAAAACATTCTAACAAATGATTTTTAATACATATAAATTATTCTTCTGATTGTGCAGAGGCCCATATATAGCCAGAATATGTGTTAATAACAATGGGTATGACACCAAGTTTCCCCAAAGTAGGAATATATGTTACATCCATTTGCCACAACTCATTACTTTGTAGTCCTCTAGGATTTGTTCCAGGCTGAAAAGTAGGTTTATTAAGCATTCCAGAAGTAGAAGAAAAAATGACTTCTTGAGCTTGTTAAATCAAAAGTTGAGGAAATTTTGATGTAAATCTTTGGTATTTACATGAGTTAAAGTATGAAACTGAGTGGTTAAATAATCTGGTGAAGAAATAGCAACAAGTTGATCAATTTCATTATTATACTTAACCATGTCACCAGGCAGATGTGAATGAGAATGAATATGAGTCATGAAAACAGGAAAATCTTTATTATGAATATGAGTTTGTAGTTTCAAGAACAATTGGTCAAGTCATTATCATATGACAAAGTGGCTGTTTCTGTATGATTAATTGAGAACCATACATATTGGGAATTCATAACAATATTTATGAACTCTGGAATATCTGATAAAAGTTGGACAACTGCTTGAAGGTCTGCTCTTTGTGCAGAATGAAAAGGGGTGTGCCATACTTTTGATATTATTCCCACATATCCAGCTTTCCCATTGCTGCTACCATCAGTATAATACATGTCTGCTTCAGGTATCAGTTCAGAATGGACAATCTTAGTTACAATCCAATTGTGCTATTTCA